TTTGCTGTATTCTTCAATTTTGTTTCGCTGTATTTCTCAACATCACCTCGGAGGACTTATCATTAAATTACTTACTTGAAATTGTTAGGTGAACACTCAGCAAAAAATTCGAAAACCTTAGCAGAGGTATAGCCTCTCCTTCTGCCATGGCAATGGCTTTTCTTAGCATTTTCTTCTTGCGTGTGTATGTGTGTGTGTGTTTTTTTTTTTTATCAATAAAGCAAATCAGGAGTATTTTACTTGGGAGTATAAGAAATATTCCAAAACAATATAAAGCAGACACAATTGATGCAGTATTATAGTTTACATCGGTTTTGACAAATCCAGGGCAGACACAATTGATGCAGAAATCGGGATACTTCTTGGCCAGAATCCTTGTGTCCGCATTCATGGCAGCTTTTGAGAGTGTGTAGGCAGACATATTAGCAGGCCAGCCTTTGGTTTCCAATGATCCCTCTTTAAAATCTTTCAGGTATTGGCTCAATACCTCATCCACTTTCTCTTCAGTAAGGTTTTCAACATCATTAAAGACTGCTTTTGCCCATTCATTTGATACATTCTGAAATATGCACTTCAAATTTAGCAATGTTTAACCCAGTTGAATACATTCTCTCATCTCTAGCAGTCAAAACAACAGTCGCCCCTTTGGAAGCTAACTGCTTGCATATTCCCAATCGAATCCCCTTGTTTGCTCCGGTAACCACTGCATACCTGAGAGATGACAGAAGGAAAGATAAAAGGCCAAAGAAAACATGGAGAGTGTAAAAACAATAGATTCCAGGAGAAACAAGTACCTGTTTTTTGCAAGAAAGGTGGATGCTTCTTCCATCCCTGCTGAGAGAAGATGGACCTGAATCCGAAGCTCTGAAGGTAGGGAAATGATGTGTAGTGAAGGAACCTCAGGAATGGAATAATATAAGTCAACAACAAAGAGGGCATCAATTAAGTACGTGGTTGGGAGGTCCACATGATATGTACGTCGTTGCTCAGGATGTCATAACCAGTACAATAAAACAGTAAACAATTGATCAACTAGCTGTTGGAGAAATTTTTAAAATAGAGGAAAGAAGACAATGGTTAGAAAATGACACAATGTATGAATAGATGTTTTTTTATATTAAAATTTTTCAAATAGAAGTGATATATTTATAAGGAGGTTAGAAAATGTCATAATGAATGAAAAGATGTCTTTTTATATTAAAATTCTTCAAATAGAAGAAACATGTTTATAAAGAGGTATTTTTATTAAAAGATAACTTATAAAAAGCTTTGTTTTCATCTTCTTAAAAAGAAAGACTGTTATCTATAGAGAAACAGGCTCCTAATGGAGAGTAAACAGATTTCGATATGGATGATACATAAAACACCCTATTGTTATCAAAATAAAATTAATAGTCCTCTTTTGTCAAATAATTATTACAGAAATTCTTATATATAAGTGATAGTTTTGCTACTCGAAGAAATGAGATTCAATGGTTGGTTTCGTCAATGCAAGGCGTAATCAACAGGGCTTTATTGTATTTTGCAGACCTTTTTAGTTAACTCTTTTGCATACCAAAATGGTGGGAGCAAAATTAGCCTAAAGGAAAGTGACATTTGTATCACGGTTTGATGCCAATGATCTGTTTTTTAACCTCCAGGTTCCAACACTTGCGAGGTTAGTTGGCCTTTTGAACAATATTTGATGTAATTAATTACATGTATCCGACAGCTGCTTAACATAGATTTTAAAGAATAGATGAGTGAAGAAGCCTGGG